GTCTATGGAATTCAACGGAGAAGTTGCTGCCACCGTTCAGGATATATGCCGCCTTTTTCCGACAAGTTTGCCTGTGTATTCACTAATGAGATACTAACTGACAACTTTAACTTCACCGATATCTACTGTCTAAAATCTCTCTATTGTTTGCTTGTTCGATCGACGCTTGAGTATTGTTCAGCGGTTTGGAACCCAAACTACAACAACGGTGCCGAGAGAATTGAATCTGTTCAACGTCGCTTTCTTCGTTTTGTGTTGGGTAGGTTGCCTTGGAATGATCCGTTTCGATTACGCAGTTACGAAAGCCGTTGTCAACCTATCGACCTAGAAATTCTCCGGACTAGATGAGACACAAGCAGAGCCCTAACCGTGGCCGATATCCTGCAAGGAAGGTCAGATTGCGAGGCTATCCTGAGGCAAATTGACCTGAATATTCAACCCTGACCGCTTCGTAACAACCTTATGCTAAGACTGCCTCTACGTTGCACAAATTATGGAGCATACGGTGCGATTTGCGGACTGCAGATAACATTCAACAGAGTTGCATCTGTTTTCGACTTTCATCTCTCCCGTGATGCGCTTCGTCGAAAGTTTTCTTCTGTTTTTCGCCGGCAGTATCCTGCAGTGAAATGCAGGGTGCTCAGCTGAAAATTTGGGGAAGCTTTGAATAATTGGGAATCTTGAACATGTTTGGGAACTTCGTTAAAGTTCAGGAACCTTTGTTTAATTTTAAGACACTTCGTAAAGGTGCTAAAACAACAAGGCGTTTCGTTAAATTTTAAGGGCTTTTAAATAGATCAGGAGATTCAAGGAACTTTGCATAAAATCAACGAAATTTTAAAAAGTTCAGTGAACATTGTAGAAGTGCAATGAAATTAATAGGAAATCTAAGAACACTGTTGAAGTCAAGCAAACAATTCTAGGAACTTCGTAAAACTTCATAGATGTGTTGTTATTTTTTAAGTTAAAATAACTTCGTAGAAGTTTTGAAAATTTGTAGCTGCAGGGTTTTTTTTTATTTAAGATTTTACTGGAAGTTTGGGGAATTTTGTTTGGCCCTAATGTTTAGGAAAATTTGAAAAAGAAGGTTCAAGGCCGTTCCTGAAGTTTGGAGAAGGTCATGAATGTTCTGAGCACTTGGCCAACTTGAGATAACTCATTATGGAACTTGGAACAAGTTGATGGAAGCTCGTAGAAGTTGAGAAAATTTCAAGAAGTATAGAAAATGGGCATTAAAAGTAACATTGGACCAATTTTTCCGACCCTCAACCATCGTCATCTGCTGGGTACAGTGCTGATCAAATATGTATATTAGGTAGGAATTTTGTTAAAGTTTTCTCCTCCTCCAGCTTTAATTTCCACAATATTATCATAATTAGACAATTCCAATTGAGTTTTGCTGAATTTCTGATGTATATTTAAATGTATGTTGGCTGATCAGCCACCATTTGCCACCCTTTGAAATATTCGAGAAAATATTGAAGTGTAATGGAATGCCTACTTTGATTGAAAACATTAAACATTTCAAACCTTCGGAAACGATCCAAATTAGAATACATTGAAATACAACTATTCATAGTGATGGATGTCTACCTTTTTTATTTTAGCAATATTAACAACAACTTAGTAGCGCTTTTGCGTCAATATACAGGGCTGCAGTCTTCAACGAAGTCGTGGAGTCGTAGAGTTGGAGTCGTGGAGTCGGAGTCGTGGAGCTGGAGTCGTGGAGTCGGAGTCGTGGAGTCAGATTCGTGGAGTCGGAGTCGTGGAGTCGGAGTCGTGGAGTCGGAGTCGTGAAGTCGGAGTCGTGGAGTCGGAGTCGTGGAGTCGGAGTCGTGGAGTCGGAGTCGTGGAGTCGAAGTCGTGGAGTCGGAGTCGTGGAGTCGGTATCGTGGAGTCGGAGTCGCATGCATCGTTTAGCATAATAAGTCGGAGCCGAAGTCAAAAAAATAAAGGTTGTTCCACATCAAATTGCATCACGGAAAAAAACGATGTAGAAAATTACCGATTGGGTGTTTTCTCTTGAAAATTTGGGTAACAGTGCTTTAGAGTGTATTGTTTACACTGTATTTTTATCGCTGTCAGTTTTTCAACAGTTGAAAAAAAATTCATCACCCGAAAAGCAACGTCGCGAATTGTTGTTGCGCAAGCACCTGGAAAATTCCCAACTCTCTCATCGGGACATCGGAAAACAACTCGGAATCGTGCAGTCAACGGTGAGTCGAGTGATTAAACGTCACTACGAAACTCTGAGCATCGAACGGGAGGAGAAATGCGGTCAGAATGGATGTTCTATTAGTGATCAGGATCACAAGCTTGTCGTGAAAGCGTTCAAGCGGAATCCCAATGCTTCGGTCTGGGATGCAGCCAAAAAGTTGAATCAGTCCAAGTCTTTCGGTCACCGGGAAGGACTGCATACGTACAAAGTGCAGAAGGCTCCAAATCGCGACGAACGGTAAAATACGGTGGGAAAGTCACGAGCTCGGAAACTGTACAGCCAGATACTGACGAAGCCTCATTGTCTCAGCATGGATGATGAGACTTACGTCAAGGCGGACTTCCGGCAGCTTCCGGGGCTACTGTGGTTCACCGCTCAGCACAAGTTTGATGTTCCGGAGGAATTAAGGAAGTTTGCCAAGAAATACATGATTTGGCAAGTGATCTGCTCATGTGACAAACGGAGTGCGCCGTTTACCGGGTCTGTAAATGGAGAGATCTACCTCAAGGAGTGTCTACAGAAGCGTCTGCTTTCTCTGTTGAAGCAAAACGAGAGCCCTACGAACTTCTGGCCGGATCTAGCTTCGTGCCACTATTCAAATGTTGTCCTGGAGTGATACGAAGCCAAGGGGTCACTTTCGTACCCAACGACATGAACAATACTGGGTTATTATGAAGCACGAAAGCATCCCAAGGAGGTCAAATCTGAGGAAGACATGAGAAAAAGTGGGTTTCCGTACAGAAGAAGCTGCAGTCAGATGTTTTACAGAACCTATCGAGTGGAGTTAAGCGTAAGGTGCAAGCTTACGGTTATGTTATTGAAGTTGAATGAAATAAATATGCCAAAAGCTTACTAATGGGTTATATTTGGTTGTCTGAAAGTTTGAAAAGGATCGGTCTACTAGGTAATTTTCTACAGTGTTTTTTTTTTCGTGATGTAATTTGATGTGGGACACCCTTTAGTACCTACTCTAACTCTGACTGTTATGAACAAATCATTTGAAGCTAGAACCTAATTTGGTCCACGTGCAAATTTATTGGCTCATGATCGATGCGATTGAAATTGAATGTATGCTTACGGTTATGCATGTTGATGGGTCGATAGGTAGGATCCAGGTTTGGGAGCTGGTTCCCTGGCGTCGGTAGCATTGGTGCTCAGCACGGAAAACAAGATCGACGGAAAATAAATCAGGGAGTGTAGTGGTAAGCATTATTGCCTCTCACCCCAAAAGGCCTGGGTTCAATCCCAGTCGGTGCCACCGGGATTTTTCTGAGGCATAAAATCTCTGATCACGCCCTCCTTCGACTCAAGCCGTCAAGGGAAGTATAGCCGTTGGTCTCCGGTCCATGAGTTGATGGGTCGATAGGTAGGGTGCAGGTGGAGGAGCTGCCTCCCAAACGAAGTTGCCTGTGTAGCGAATGTGGAGATAGAAGTTAATTATCACAACAATCGTGTTGACTATTGTGGTAACTCACAACACTGATCAATAATGTTTCACACACACTTTATTTAGATTTCAGTTGACTTGACTGGACTGAAAAAAATTCACTGAGATCTTAGCATGAATTACGTTTGCTTGCTGAGATTCAGGGAAACATATTCTGATACTCAGTAACCTAACATCAGTTCTGCTGAGCTTGCAGTAATTTTTTTCAAAATTAGTCGAGATTCAACTAACAAAACTAAGCATGTATGACGAAATTATCAGACATCCTTAGTTTTGTATTTCAACATAATAATCCAGTCTAAACGGAAGCAGACCCACCAAAAATATGAAGCCTCCTTCCTCCCCCATTTCTGAATCTAAAGCCGACTGCATAATGTGGATTATACATGTGAAGAGCTGCACTCACTACACTAAACTACGATACAGGACTTATGGGATCACAACCGGATCTCGATTAGATTTGTTTGAAACACACATGCAAAACTGCTGAGAAGCTGAATCGTTTCAGCTGAAAAACTTTGACTCCACTTTCAAATAATCGCTTGTTCCGGAAGCAATCAAATCCGCAATTAAGAACATTCGCATTATCAACGCCATCAATGCATAAACTATGCCCGACAAAGCCACTAAATTTTCTGCAAACCCCCACCGATAACACCATTCCAAAACGGCCATGTTTTAACAACATCATCAAACGGCCTCATTCCTGCCACGCTAATTTGCACCAATCGAATCAACTCTAAACTCGTTAGAACGATATGCCTTTGGCCCGCAATCACAGGAAATTACACAAAGTTCAATCACAAAGTTACATCCGCCACATCGTCCTCAACCAGCCAAACCATCCCCACCCACACCGTTATCTTAATGCCACATCGCATTCGACTAATGGGATTGACAATCAACTGAACTGTACCCTCGCTAAGACTTTCCAGCGGAGCCTAATGGCTTTAAGAAACTTTTGCCAAACTCTAATCTACATCTAATTGGTTGAAAATATCCCGAAAGATGCCACTTTCTCTCCTGGCACAGCATCTCACAATTAAAGCTCCCCCTCCTTTCTCCCCGGGCAAAGTCAATGTACTTTGGTATCCCGGATTCGCCATCTGGTCCGCATGATGCTTCTCATCCGACTGTTCCATCTCCTATCTGGTGCACGCAATGAAATTAGTGGCCTAATTAGATTTTTATTACATTCCTTCCGGAATGGGGACACGCAAGCCCCCATCGCGTCACCGACCAAGACGTATCATCGCACATTTATTCTCATTTCTTCCCGAGTAAGTCGTTTTTGCCACTTCTTCTAACGCCCGTGACTTTTTCGCTTCTTTCCAGAAATGCCATCCGAGTACTTCCCGACCGAAAGCAAGAAGCTAACCCATTTTCAGCCCGATTTGACGCATAATACGGTGGCCATAAATTACGAGTATCCCCTGACGCCGCACCACCAGCCAACGTCCCAGCATCATCTCCTCCAGCATCAGCAGCAGCAGCAATCAGCGCATCCCGGTATGCTCACGACGACATCGGCGACAGGACTACAACAGCAGCCGACCCTGCCAGGACATCACCAGAGCAATTCACTCAAAAATTCACTGCCATTCCCTCGGTCCAACTCCGAGCATCACTACGACGTGCCACATTTGTGTAATAAGTGAGTATCGCTTTTTTGTTATTGTTGTTGTTGCTGTTGTTATTTGGGCGATTTTTTTGATGTTGAACAAAGTTTTCTCAGTCAATCCTACGAACCGCGATAATTCTTCCAACGGAAGAAAAAAAAATCCTCAAGCTCCGTATCAAGAACGGGGGAGAGGTATGTGATTAATTTCCTACCATTATAGGCGAAAGCCTAAGCGACGTAGGTCTCAAGCCATGCGGGATCCCATCATGGAAAGCTCTGTAGACCATGACCTCCCCCGCGGCGGAAGGATACACGGTCCGATTCGTCGCAGCGTGATTCAAAGCAATCAAGGGAAGACTTTTTTCAGATTACTACATCCTATCGTGTCATCGTCGTCGATCTAGGGCACTGCCCGTCGGTCGGAGTCGTTGACCAAATCTCGTAAAGGATTACCCCCAACTGGGGAAATGGGACGCGCGATGATGGGTAAATCAATTTGCTGGTTGGTTTTCTCGTTCACCTTCTTTTTTTTTCAGACATGCCAATGCCAAATGCCTCCAGAGAGTTGATACAATTTGCACCTTTCTTTGTTCGCGGATTATGAATGATGCGGCCGGCGACGGGTGTGGGCGCGATGATGTCCGATGAGAAATGGGAGGCTAATTTAAATACGGCTCCGGCTGGCTAAACGATGATGTCGTAGCAAATTAACCGACAGCGGTTTGAAATATGACTGTAGGAGTTTGCCTTTTTCTGTCCAAAAAAAAAGTACAATGGAGCGTGGGATATACAGAAAAAATGAACATGGATGATGTGATTATGTTTATGTTCAAAGTAGCCAAAAAAAATGTATACCGGCATTTTTCATATGGTAGGAGGATTTTATTCACGAGTTCAATTAAATTGCTGTTCCAGGGGACACAAACGTGCAACAGACTTTGCCTTAATTGATATAAATTTCATAAGAAAATCATACCGTTTTGTTTGAAATTGGTTGTTATTGATAGGAAAGATACTCCATTTATCCACTTATCGTGTGATTGTTTGGAAACAGTTTATGATCTTCTTCTTTCACACTGGCTCTCAATTTTGTGTTCTTTGTTCAGTTGTTAATTGAGCCATTTTGTGCCATTTTTGCATTTGAATGTTGTGTTGCAAGTAAAACCATTAGGATGGTTCAAAATATTGATTTTGAAAAAAATAAGATGTATCCAAGACACGACCGTAGATTCGACGTAGTATTACGAAAGGTAGTTTTGATGTCACAGCAAAAGTATAGTAAATATTAAATTGATTTCTTAACTTGTTATCAGTAAAAAAAAGTTCGATAGGTTGAAATTGGGAAGCATTTTTGAGGTGCTCTGTCGGTGTCGGTGCTTGTACTACAATCCTGGATGATAGCTCTTTAGTTTGACAGTGAGCATGCGTAAGGACGTAAACGCGATGATCGATGTTCTTAGCGAATTAATATGTTAAAAACAATGTATGTAGTTCTTTGTTTCAACGGGATATAGTCAAATATTCTACCTTGTCTTGAAGATCCTTCTCCAGCATCTCAACCTGTAGATAAAGCGATGTTGTCTCTAGGCGTTCTGATCCTGTCTCGGTAACATCGATTTCTTTCAGCATCAGTTTTCGGCTGCTTCTTCGGAGGTTTTTCCGCTTGCAGTTCCTTTGCGCGCTTGTATTGTGTAGCCAAATGCTGTGACATTACTATTAAGCTGAGCTAAAGGTGTTGAACACAGATAAGGCTGGCGATCTGTATGTTGTTTGGAACGGTGACGCGCTTGGCATAGATGGCCCATAGCAGCTCACGACGAGCAACTGAAATCCTATTAGTAAGGGTGCAATTTCTTCCTCCGCGAATGGACCGCTCAGTGGGCTGCAGCTCGCGCTTGCGGGCAGCTTTTCGTCGTGTATTGGAGAATCTACAACTCCACGCGCCGAAAGCACTGCAGCTGCTGCTGATGATGACCACTGGACACCACCACTCACCACACGCGGTGATTGAATATACACCGTTCGGTGAGACCGGAGTGAATTCGGTTTTTAAATCTGTGTTAGGGAAAACGCTTTTCGCAGTCAATCGGTGATAATTTTCATGATTATAGTGTAACAGTCCCTCTTATTGCGGACTAAACTGTTGTAACTACATCCGACAGCATGTGGCAGTGCCATCTTTCAACCACTAGATAAAGTGCGGCGTGCGCGTAACGATTGTTTTTTATGGCTCCACTCAATTGAAATTCTCTCACTTACGCATACACAGGTAGCAAACCGAATGTTAGGAGTATGAGTGCCAGCGTAGTGAGATGACTCACACTCAGAGATATGGATCTCAAATAATTGCGCGGCTTGTACTGTACGCGGGAATGCGAAGGATAAACCTCTTGATCGGGCTTTTCCAAATCTTCACGGCGTTTGAGCAATTGTTCCGCCAACAAATGAATTTTGAATTTTCTGCGACGCAATTAGTCTAGTCCTTGATGAGGTGTTTTAACTGGTCACACAATCACTTTCGTGAAGCTACGCATTCAATTCAGACGTACCAGACGTACCTATTGATTACTACTACAATTAACTGTTCCTGTGCTTTGAAAAGTGAGTCGAGCAGTGATAGAAGATTTTCACTTGTAGTTCACTGGAATTGATAATTATTGTTAATTTGTTTTAGTTCAATACCTAGTATTAACCGTCGAAATCGGACAATTAATTGTGAACAAAAAAAATAGAAAAAAACGCAGGTATGTGTTATTGCGCGGTTTAAGAGATACGCAGAGATTAATTTCGTTGCGGGGTATTTTTTCCCTTCAACAAAGGGTTTTTTTATGCTCTACGAATCCTCGACGAGTGCCTAGGAATTGTATCACGCATCGGAACTCAATATTCGTGCCTCCGTGATTACCGTGGACCGTGAGATATCGGGTGGATTCCATCCGTTCGTGACCCCGGAGAGTGAACGATTTGTCGGGTCCTATTTCATCTAATAAACCCACCCAGTGATCCACGTAACTGCCACTCATCCGTCGAGCGAATCGACCGCTAGTCAATCCTATGTGAAATCGAGCGCAATTTGACCCATTGATCGAATCAGAATCTTGCTGACTCCCACCAAGCCTAGTGTGGATGAGCGTCGGCTTCTCATTGCGATCGCTCTGCAACTTTTACTCGTCATACGACATCGCCTTTGTCGCATCGAGCAACGTCGCAACATTCTTCGTTCAGCAGAACGGCGCCCACCGTGCTGTAGTAAGGGTAGAAGAGAGTAGCATCGGAACCGTAAGTCTAGTATAGTTGATTTGAGCTCAAATTTAGGATCCTTCCCCAGACTAATGTAAATAGTTGGCAAACTCTGAGAAGTTCCTGGATAAAATAAATGCTTCTTCGCGTAATTGATTGTGAAGCTTCGTCCTAAATACTTTAATATTAAGCGTTTGTTCTTTCCTTTCCGCATATTTTGTTTCCCGTTTGGGTCAGCTAGGGAATTCGTAGTGTTTGAGCCACTTAAACTCGCCCTCAGACCGAGTCTCATAGCCGGACCGGAAAACGTGTCAGCAGTCTCTCTAGTTAGAGAGTGGCGCTTAAGCTGCTGTGCGTTGTGTGCACAACACAAACGTTACAATAGCAACAGTTGCACATTCGTGTAGTTTTCAATAATGACCTTTTGAAAATTGATAAAGTGTTAATTTTTGCAGATTTGTAGACGACATACCAATCGAATGGCTTGTTTAGAATTAATATCCATCAGCTATTGACAGAGTTATAAGTGATCAAATCCTGACCACTTTTCGTAACGCGGTCGATTTTAGTATTTCAAATTGCACCCCCAATATGTTGCTGAAAGACGTAATCCTACGTCAAAAGTAAAACCGGAGATTTTTATCTATGTGCCAAATCTACAGATCTACAGATCTCCTTTTTTTACAGTAAGATCTGAGTTTCTGGCACATTTTCTAATATAACTTGTGGCCCACATGGTGTGATGAGGTCAAACGAAGTTCTACAGATTGGCATTATAAATCAGGACATCGTAAAATCCTTTGTTGAGCATGTAGAATCATCAAGATCAAAACTCCCGGATGGTTTGGAGCTGAGTAAAACTTAAAATAAATTCCTAGAAAGTTCCATAGAAATTTCTGGAGAAAACAAAGTTAACGCTGGAAAACCTCCAAGTGAAGTTTACGGCGAAATCTTCGGGGAGTTTATAGGTAATACTGCATAAATTATTAGTTACCTGTAGAGCATTTAAGATTGAATTTAAAGTTTGTTTTTGGAGTAAATTATAAGAAAATACCCAAAAGATATCTAAGATGAACTCTGTGGGCATTCTGAGATAATTGAAGAAAATTTTTCAAAAAATACTGAAGAAATCCTGTAAAGATTACCAATAATATCAGAATGGATCTAGGATAGATTTTCTTCAAGATATTGGACATATTGCATCAAGATTAAGGATTTGAAAAAAAAAAATAATAAATATTAAGATTTCATGTTCAGTAAATTTTATTGAAAAAATCTTCAAGAGTCAGGTTGTTTTATTTTCAAATATTCCAGACATGCAGAAATTTCCAAGATTCTTGAACGTCCAAATAGTCAGAACATATATATCTAAGCGTTAAAATCCTAAAAACATATATGTGTAAGGAAGCTCGTCAAACTTATTTAAGTCTGGGCTAATGACCATTCGGCCTAACGGCCTGACACTCTCAGGGTACATACATACATTTATTTGTACAACATCACATTTAAGATAAAATCAACAATAGTACGCCACAATACTCGGTTTGCGGCTGCCGCTCTCCATCCTCGGTCATGCCCAATGCTCGCTAGATCACGCTCTACCTGGTCCGCCCATCGTGCTCTCTGCGCTCCACGCCTTCTTGTGCCACCCGGATCAGTAGCGAACACCAACTTTGCAGGGTTGTTGTCCGGAATTCTTGCAACATGCCCTGCCCACCGCATCCTTCCGGCTTTGGCCACCTTCTGGATGCTGGGTTCGCCGTAGAGTGCAGCGAGCTCGTGGTTCATTCTTC